ATGCCTAACAGAGTATGGCATTCCATCCATATAAAAATAATCTAAAGGATCTCTGCCTCAAATTATTCAAACATAAGTACAAAGCTTAGTGTATGTTACTGTGGCCAGTTTCCCCCCCAATTAAGGCTTTTGTTATGACATGCCCTTAATCATTACTTAGAAACAAATAGTCATATAAATGACCAACTCCTAAAAGAGAAATCTTTTATCCTACACGGGAGCAATAATCTCCACAATGGTACCAAGCACCCAGGTCTGGGTCCTCTTCGCTCCAATAATTAACCATAAAAATCCCCATTCCTTCAAAGCATAAGCGAAGCTACAGTAACCAAAAGCAGATTTTTTAAAATTTGTTTAAAAATTATGAAATCTCAATTAACTACCTACCACAGTTAAAAAGGTCAAATTACAGTTATGAATAGTCTCTAGTGACAGAAAATGGCTATAATCTCAAATTCCCAACTCAATGCAATGTCCTTCCAGAAAAATTTAATGGTGAAGGAAAAGATCCCTGCTAGGTAATTGTCTTCAGAGGCAAAACCACCTGGACAGGAGCAGAACGTCACAATTTAAATTAACAGGTTAAGTAACACTCATTAGCAAGATTACTTTAATAATGAATATAAAATAATCTCACATTAACCCTCAATGACTGAGCTCAGTTTATCGAACACTAAGTTAAAGCAGTTAGTATGACAGAAAATAATGATGACAACTGGTTTGCACAACTTTTTTTGGTTGGGACATAAGTAAGGTGGTCTCTTTGAATGTATGTGTTCAATTAATTTGCTTCATATCTGGATTTATACGCATAGAGAACTGCTGTCACCACACTGAAGGAAAACAAGACATGAGCTTATGAAAAAGAAAAGGTTAGTATTGGATTTGGGTCAGACAGGGAGGGGGAAATTGAATGACAATAGAGAACACGACTACTTTATAGTCCATTGCTAAGAATCGGGGTATAAGGAAACACTGGACAATAAATACTGAACATGCAATAAATAAAGAACTCCAGCCTAGAAGAATTTCCTCGAGGTAGAGTGTTTTTAATGGGTTGTCCTCAACTTGGAGCTCCTTTTCCTCTGTGATCTTAGAGTGCTGGTTTATTCACCTTGAGCTGTGATACACTATTTCCTTTTTAAGTTTGGCATGTCTCACCTAGAAATCCCTTGCAAACCTGCCATCTTTAGGGCCTGCCACTGGATCCTTCGATGTAACTGCCTGTCGCTGTGTAAGTTATAGTCCAGACCGAGGTATTAACTAGCCAGGCAACTTGGAGCCAGTCACCTGACCTCATCACACCTGCATTTTCCCAACTTGCAATATGACAGGATTAAGCTTTGCCCTAAGACAGTGGTCAGCAAACTGCGGCTCGGCAAACCTCGGCTCGAGAGCCACATGTGGCTCTTTGGCCCCTTGAGTGTGGCTCTTCCACAAAATACCGACTTCTGCGCATGGGCCACGAAGTTTCAATCGCACTGTACGTGCGCGTCCGCACGTGGTATTTTGTGGAAGAGCCACACTCAAGGGGCCAAAGAGCCGCATATGGCTCCCGAGCCGCGGGTTGCCGACCACGGCCCTAAGAGCTCCTTCTAGCTTATTTTTCTTTCCACTTTAGCATTTTATCATTTTATACAGTTGAGGAAGGGAACAGATTTTCACAGAAACGAAAACTTTTTTTGAAACACTTTTATATATACAAGTATTTTTCAAATCATTTTCCTCTTATTCTTCAGGTATGCAGTAATTTCAACAAATACAGTAATATCAAACTCTCATCAGAGGAATTGGCAAAAGTTTGGATTATGAGGTAAATGGTTCAACAATGATAGAAAATTAGATAAATTTCACATTTATCTTGTTATATGATCTGGCTAATTTCCAAAAATTCTTAACTGGAGAGTGAAAAGATTTTCTTTGAGATACACCCTCCAGAGGCAGAAATAACAACTCCCTCATAACGCAGCATTTGGTCGGCAAGATGAAGAGACTCCAGGTATAGAAAGGCCAAGACGGGCAAAATGCTAGAGCATAGTGATTCCGCTCTTTCTTTAAATCCATTTGCCCCAGTCAAAGCACATCCCTGTTGTTTGATGTTTAAAAACATAACCTGCACAATTCATAAAATGATGCAGATTTTGAATTTAAAAGATATATTATACACCTGTAAACAAATTTACTTTTATACCTTTTTTTTGTTTAATTGTTGCTACAAATGAAAAATGAATGTTGATGATTACTTTATATGCCAAAGTTAATGGAAGAAATGAATACAAAGCAAATCATTTCTAAGTCAAAATGTCCTTCATTAATAAATGAATGTATTCTAGTACTATTTGCATTCAGAAGGCCAAAACTTTAAAAGACATTTAAACTGATTGCCACCATTCCCCCCAAAAAAGGTACTATGTGGTTTCCTTGAACAAAACATCATACACTTATCTTAATAAAATATGCATAGTTGATCATTTTAACACTCTGATCATTCAACATTTTGCTGTTTTATTGTGAAGTGAATTTTTAATAAATAGAATTCCATGCAATAGTGGCAATTCCTCATGAATAATTTAAGATGCTGATCATGAAACTACATCTTCCCCTTCTTTACTCTGCGTCAGTAGTATTAGGCCCAGCTGTGGGGAGCAGGTCAGCAGACTGCCCCAGGCTGAGAGCTATCTCAGAGTTCCCTTCCGTTATAGAACACCTCACCTGAGGTTTCACCTTAATTAATCCAGTAAA